AGCTGCTGCAAGCCCTGCTGTTGTCAGTCCAGCTGCTGCAAGCCCTGCTGCTGCCAGTCCAGCTGCTGCAAGCCCTGCTGTTGTCAGTCCAGCTGCTGCAAGCCCTGCTGCTGCCAGTCCAGCTGTTGCAAGCCCTGCTGCTGCCAGTCCAGCTGCTGCAAGCCCTGCTGTTCCCAGTCTAGCTGCTGTGTCCCTGTGTGCTGCCAGTGTAAAATCTGAGGCTCTCAACTCTGAAGAGATCTGCTGAGCCAGCCACAGTTCAAGGCTCACCCTCCCCATAGGATGAAGCCAGCTATGACTACCACTTCTAAGAAGAGGCCATCCACTCACACACTGAACATCTCCTAACAAATTCTCCTCCAACTCACTCTCTGGCTCAACCTTCCCTCGCCCAGGCCTAGACCACTGCTGTCCCACTCAGCAGCCTGAGCTCCTCAACATTTTCTGTGATGTCTTGTGGTCTAGAAGGAGCCTCTCTTTGGTGCCCCACTTGGAATGAGGTGGGTAAAGATTCATTGGAACTTTCTGTGGTCACATATTATTTTACATTAAATTGAATAAATGTATTGAATAAACCAATAAAACCATATGGCCCCAAACTGAAGCTTGCGACTTGTTCATTTCTTTGCTGTTCACTATCACTGCCATGGTTCTTGGCTTCCTGTGGCTGTAGTTAGTTGGTCCTCAGGTGGCTTCTGTTGCAGGTGGGTGGCAGGTTGCTTCCATGTCACCCCTCCCTTCAGATCCACCATTGCCTCTTTTGGGATTCCTCTCTGCCCTTGTGCTGTCACCTTTGACCCAGGGGGGACAAGAGTGTGCCTGGGGCAAGGCCAATACAAACCCAAACGCTGGGAAAGCTCCTGGTGTTTCAGGCTGTCCGCTCTTCTTGTCCCACTGTGCCATCTCCCCTTGGGCTGTCCTTGCAACTGACCTGCTCTGATTTTCGGTTAAATTTTACAAAGGCCTTTTCCCTCAGTGGACAAACACATTTCTAAGGCACCAAACTCTTCTCACTGAGGTTCCTCTCCTCCACCCTGTCCCAGGAGGAATCTTGTCAGTCTACATGGATGTGGTGGGACTGGGAACAGAGATGTCACCCTCATACCCCAATTTAGGGGTGGCTATACAGCTAGACCCTTCTCCCATACCCTCTCTCAGCCCACTGGCCTATAGCAGAGTGATCTACTCCATGACTCTATTAACAATCTTTCACTTCATCCACATAACACATGAGAGATTTTCAGGTAACAGAGAAACCATGGCTGGTTCTTAACCTCAAGACCTTGGGTGATGTCCTTCTGCATTCTCCCTGGCACCCTAAAATTGGTCCTATAGTCCTTGAAAATTCTTTTTTCTTTTTTTGCGGAACCGGGGATTGAACTCAGGCCCTTGCACTTGCCAGGGAAGCACTTATTCCACTGAGCCATCTCCCCAGCCCCCT